AGGTTTCAGGGTGAAGGTCTTCTCTCACAACTCTAAAGGGCCCCTTTGGCAATAGGAAACACGTAGACTGTTGTGGAGATTGATTTTGGAATTTAGATGCACTGTTATCAGTTGTGCTTAGCCATACACGTTCATATCCTTGAAGATGTATCATGGAACTCTTGCAGCTGAGAAGACACAAATTTAACTAACAAGTTTAAAAGTACAAGAGTCAAAAATTAAAAGCAATAATATTCCAAATAGAGGTTCTAACAGTGGCACAAATCACGTTACAGAGGGAAGGTAGTTCTTAACATAAAAGGCTTATTGACTAGCACTTTGTCTATTATAGTATAAAGGTTAGGAACCACAAGATGTAGAGGCTCAACTATGTCATTTATTGTTCTTAAGTCCTGGAGCAAATTCCATCTACCACTAGGTTGCTTTACAGCTCGGAAGTCTGCATGCAAGGCAGAAGTGAAGTAAGGAACTGCTTGTGAGGTTTTCTGTCAATTCCAACAACTAAGAACTAGTGAGAAGAGTTGGGACCTCAGGAGGCTTTTAGGACCAAATAGTAGGCTCTTGTGTCCAGGAGAAAACGATAATACTTACCAGTAATGTTAATGCTCACCCACAGCTCTTCTGGAAGGATCTAAATCGTTGAAGCATCCTCCTTTGTTTCCAGCTGGGAGCTGGCGCTTGTCAGTCCTGTCAGCCACGACGACCTGATGTGGGCCGTCCTTGACCATGTGTCCTTCAGATCCACACTTAAAGCAAGTGAGTGGGAGCTTTCTCTCTACTCCCTTGCCTATCTGTGGCTCTCATCTGTGACACTGTCTACTGAAGCGGCCCAACTTTCTGCAGTGGAAGCAATTCTGACCTCCTTTATGACCTTTGGGTGGCACTGTTTATGAGTAAGACTTCCTTTTCCTGACACAGGCCCTAAACTGGCAGCAATAGCTGACCCAGTAATTTTGGCCATTCTCTGGTCTTTTCTCTTCCCTCTAGATCCCAGTTGTTTAAAGAGGGGAAAATTTAAACAAATATATAACAAATAATTTTGAACAGTATACTCTTTTAAGTTTAAGGCTAGAAATATTAACAATATGATCATTTCCAATCCAGAGATACATGTTCCAATGCAGTTCCTATTTTCCATAAATGGTTTTGGTAAGAAGACTATTGTAAATGTGGATACAGTTCCACTATTCCTCCTCC